CAGCCTAGGTGGAGTAGTCGAACACAGATCCACTGATCCTTCAACACAGAGCATCTTCAGAAGACAAGTTGATAAAATAAATGTTAAATCTGTATTGTTCCATACAAGTGTGTGTTGAACCTAAAGCACTGTTCGATACGGGTACATGTATTGTTGCAGCCCTAGTAAATACATGAAGGTATACTTTTATTTAACATGATGACAGCAGCTCAGTGCTTAGCCACTTAGTCCTCAGCTGTTAGCGGAGGAAGGAGAAATACTTTTATTTTGACAATCCTGTCTGATAACAAGCAAATGTTCTTTCTTCCTCTCTGAGTCAAGTTTGATCTACAGACCTTCTGTCACTCCAGTTAAAATCAAAGAGCTGTCGCAGCTTTGGATCAAAGGCACCAATCCCACAATAGACTCACGTAAACAGAACATTTACAGAGTCAGCAGCTGAGTCATCGCTGAGGGGGAGACTAGTTTTGGTAAAGACTTCTGTGATTTAGCAACAGTCCAGACAAAAACAAAAACACTGTTACCTCATAGGTGTTCTTGGGCTTCCAGGGAACTTCCYAGGTGAGCGGACCTTTGGCTCGAAGGAAAATTTCTCTTTAAGGTTTTCCAGCACAGAAGGAGCTACGTATGTGAAACCCTGGGACAAAAACAGAGAAATATCTGAGTCCACCAAAAAGCCTCTTTSTCAACACTAGCCACAGCTGATGATGAGCAGTGAACCATCTCATGCAATGTGGTGGAAAAGTGACAAACTTCCAGGAAAATGAGCCAAATTTAAACCCATGGGAAGCATTAACAACTTGTTGTAAGACCTACTTGTTGAAAATGAAACAGGAAAGACACAATGTGGAGAGCTGACCTGTTTTTGCTTTTGTTGTTTTTTTTATAGTTATTTGCAGGTTACACAACAAACACATAAGTGTAACAACAGGACAGAAACAGATGTTTTTAAATCAAAGTGATCTTTTCGACTCTTAATTCTGCACTGAAAAAAGAAACATCTGCACCAGTTGTTTCTTTTGGCTGCTCCTTTCTGAAGGGACTGCCACAGCCAGCATTAAAGATTTGGTGATTGWTTTATGCCYGATGCCGTTCCAGACACAACCTGGCTTTGAACCTGCAACCTCAGTGTTAAAAGTAGGGCTGCACAATATATTAAATTTACCGTCATGGCGGTAACATCCTGTGCCGTAGGATTATCTCAGAAAAGTGCATAAACTGCAATAAATGTTTGGCTCAAGTTTGCATTTCTGTGTTTTGTCGATCGCATGGAAGCTTGAAGCAGGGACTGGCCATTGGGACTACCGGGACTTTTCCCGGTGGGCCGGGGCCTCACTGGGCCAGTGCACGCAGCTGAGGAAAAAATATATATTAAAAAAAAGGATGTAGTTTGGCTTTATACCTGTAGGTGGTGATAACGCACCAATTCACTGTTTACCAATCACTGAAGAAGAAGAACAAGAAGAACAAGAAGAAGAAGAAGAACAAGAAGAAAAGTTTGTTAATGCACACCTAAAGTTTTTTGAAAACCGCCAAGGAACCCTATAGGAAGAAGAAGCTCAAAAGTTGAGAGAATAAAAGGCACACACCACAAGCAAATGTAGCCAAGTGTCAGAAACTGACCAATTTATTTTCTGCTGGTGGTGCATCATCCTCATCCTCAGTGGAACCTGCAGCTTTGTTGTCATTCAACCTCTGGAGAACAACGTGACCAGGAGGAGGATGGTAGTCAGGTAGGTGGCTGTATTTTTTTTCTAGTTTGTTATCTTTTAGCACAATGCCTATATAGCTGTAAAAACAAAAAGTAATTATCATGTGTGGACTAGGTCCAAGCGATTCACTAGCTAATAATTTCATAAAACTGTTGCTACAATTTTTTAATCTATTTTAGATATTTACATCATACACTGAAGTTCAAGTGTATTTATATAGCGCCAAGTCACAACATACGTTGTCTCAGGGCACTGTACATAAAATAGTATTGGCATTCTAAATGACAAAAATAATTTGTTATAAATGTTTATGGG